CAATTCTTGAAGGGTGGGCAGAAATTACTTAGGCCAAGAAGGGTACTGGAGGAAGAAATGATATTTCATAGAGGAAAGGCCTAAAAAAAAATACAGAAGCATGAAATTTCCGGGTGTGTTCAGGGGAAAATACGAGCATTTCAGTATTACTGGATAACAAACTAGCAGGTAGGCAGTAGCAATAAATGAGGCTGAAGAGGAGAATCTGTGGCAGCTGATATAGGGGAGATGTGGAGGGACTCACACACACTGCCGAGGAGCTGGGTATTTCTTGAAGACAAGAGAAGACTTTGCTGTTGTCCGTGTAGAGGAATAATGCTTAGATGCATTTCAGAAAGATTGTTCTGACCGTAATGTAGAAAAAGCACAAAAAGGAGTATGGGGGCAAGATTGTGGCCACATCTCTCCAAAAGAGGTGAGGAAGGTCTGAACCCTAAGGATTGCTCTAGGGAGCTACAATTAACACACCGTTTTCCACAGGTGTGCAATACATCTTTGTTGAATGGCTGGCTGGATGGATGGATATGTGGATGGATGAATGGATAGATGATTTAAAGAAATTAAAGTTTAATCAGTTTGTGTTTGCTATGATCTGAATGCTTGTGTCTCCCACCACCACCACCTTCCAAATTCCTATGTTGAAATCCTCTTCTTTCTTTCTTTTTATACCTTCCACTAATTGAATCCCTACCATGAAATCCTACCCCTAAGGTGAAGGTACTAATAGGTGAGGCCTTTGGGGTGATTAGATTATGAGGACAGAGTCCCCACGAATGAAATTTGTGCCCTTATAAAAGAGGCCTGAGGGAGCTTATTTGCCCCTCCACCATGTGAGGACACAATGAAAAGGCTCCATCTGTGAATTAGGAAACAAGCCCTCACAAGACACCAAATCTGTCAGCACCTTGATCTTGGACTTCCCAGCCTCCAAAACTGTGAGAAATAAATTTTTGTTGTTTATAAGCTTCCCAGGTTATGGTATTTTGTTATAGCACTCCTGGACTGACTAAGACAGTCTTATATCCTGAAAATTGTTACACGGGTCTATTTTATTACCATCAGAGTCACTTTTCAACTCATTCTAATTATCTGTCCAACACTAAGCATAATCAGGAATTTGTCAATGGTACTATGGCCCCCAAGAGGGCAAAAATTCATTCTTAGGAAAGCAAATTAAAAAAATTCTTTTTATATAAAGCGCAGATACACAAATAGTATACGAACATATATATAAACAGATATGCAATCTATCAGTAGTATTAAAATTTCATGGAGGAAAAGGGCGAGTAGTGAAAGAAGTATTCAAAAAGACTCCTTGGGGAACAATAATGAAAAAAGGTTAAGATATACTACTCCAAATAATTGTTGTAACTTCAGTAGCATTTGCTAGTTTTAATCCAGTATAGTGAGTCTTTTTGTTTATCATAATTCTACTTAAGACTGTCTGAGTATTTGAGATTTAACTTGGTGTTACTGCTTCTTTTGTCTTTGGTATCATATTGACTTTAGAAAAATATGCATGAACAGAAAATAGAAATATTCCCATGACTCAGAGGAATGATATTTTAAATGTAATATTCATATTTCATCTAAGGACTACAAGCTATTCCAAAATAATGTTTCATCAATCCTCAAAGCAATCTATTTTATGGGAAAACAGAAAAGAGCACTCTTGTGTTCTCCTAACCTCTCTCCATGGGGATAACAGCTAGTTGTTCAAAATTCAGGTCTAGGAATTTTAATCTCAGAGTAGTAGAGGGCATCTGAGGAATTGTTTCTGTGACAGTTCTAAGATGGGAATTTAGTTGCTCAGGAACCTCCCGTCACCTCTTACCCAAGAGATCTGACAAACAAGCTCTTCAGCTAAGGCTAATACAGAATCAGTACTGACCTCAGCCTCACTCTTATCCACTCTACCTCTCACCTCTCAAGGTGCATGTGTCTGTTGCAAAATCATTGTTTCCAGGAAATGCACTAGTTGTGGTAGTCTTTCCACCACCTTCTCTAAAATGCTCAGGTGATGCTGCATTCACAACAGAGCTGCTTCATCTGCACCAGCAAGGCCAGAAGAGAAAGTAACAGACTTCAACCTTGAGTGGCTGCACACACATTGCCACAGCATCTGTCTTTCTAACAAACTTGAAGACACTTGTGTCTGTGCTTCAGGGATCCAGATTTTTCAGTTTAAGATAGAATTTTCTTCTGAAACTATTGCAGTGGAGAGCAAATTTCCCCACCTGCTAGTCTATTTTCTGAAGAAATTCAGCCTTTTATATCCATGTTATACTCTTTTAGAAGCAACTGGATCATCCTCTGTCAGGACGATGTATATACTAAAAATGTGTATACTGGAAAGTATGGATCAGTGTTTAAGGTATTACCCACAGGATTAGTGCAGATAAGTAGAGGGGAGGAAAGAGAGACAATTGTCCCATTTTTGCCTGGATGGGTTGGGTTTCTTTAGACGATATATTCTCTGAGGTATGGTGAAATGCACATGTATTGTACTTCCTGCTTCAAGCTCATTGAACTCTTTTAAGTTTCCAGAAGGAACATGACTTCCTTCTTTCCTTGATTTTCATGACACCACAGGGTGTCCCAAAGTCTCCATACAAAGGAAAAATTTTGTAAAATTTTGTAATGAATATTTTGTAAATAAAGGTACATTTGGCTACAAGTCCCCATTTTCCATGTGTATGGTGACTTTTGGGACATCCTGCATATGCCCCTGATTTTCCTCCTACTTCTTTCTATACCTACTTCTCTCTGTCTTTTACTGAATCCACTTTCCTACCCTTCCTGTAAATGCTGCTGATCTTCAAATTTTCTCTTCTCTTGTCCCTCCACAAAATCCTCCTATCCACTCTCATAGCTTCGACTGTTCACTATATGTGATGGCTTTTGACTGGCTCTCTGTCCTGAACACCAGACCTGTACGTAACTGCCACTTAAGATCTGATTTCATGTGTCCCAAAGTCACCTCAAAATCAACATGTCTAAGACTGAACTTATCACCTCTGCTGGAAAGCTTTTGCTCCTATTTGTCCAAGATTAGTGAATGACGTCCACATACCTGAACACTGCTAGAAATCTAGGCATAACTCATGGCCTCTTTCCCTCTCCATCTACACCCAATTCCACATCCAATGTCATTTTGTCTCCTCAGACCCTTTGAGATACATCCACTGCTGCTACTGCAATTCAGGCTGCCACTATCTCTGGTCTGGATTATTTCAACAGACCCCTATTTGCTGTTCCTGTTCCTAGTCATGTTCTCTCCTTTTCATTTATCCCCACCAAAGGCAAACTAATCTCTCTAAATTACAAATCTAATCATAGCATTCCCTGATTAACAGCTTTCACTTGTTATACATTTCTCAAGGCTCTCTACTGTCTGATTCTTTCTCTCTCCAACATCTTTCGAGACTACCTTAAATCCTTTTACACAACTTCTTTGAGGTTTTAAACTCATCATTCTCTCTTCCCCTTTCCCCTTCTCTCTTTCCTCCCCTCTACTTATCTTCCAGTAATTTAATGTCCAGGAGTGTCTCCCTCACACTTTCTTTATTAATACACTATCATATCTCTGCCCCAGTTCATTTATTCCTTTATCATGGAAACCTTCCTTCCTGCCTCACTCCAGTTGTGGTAGGTTTCACTCCAATGGGCTGTCATATTGCACATCATTATCACCATCACATGTATGCATCTGCCTTATCCCTTCTCCTAAACACACACCATGCTACTGTCAATGAATGAAAAAATGGTTTTTCCTCTGCCTAAAAATGCACTGCGTCATCCTCCATCCTCTATTCCCACCTTTACCCAGATAAATCTTCCTAATCCTTCCATATTTACCTCAGAAATTCTTCTGAAATGTTTTACCTGATTCCCAGGCTAAGCTAGGTGACTCTCTTCTATGTTGTCATGGTAAAGGAATGATCTCTTATAGTGAAAGTCAGAACACACCACTCCTGCTCAAGATCCTCCCTATTTTACTCAGAGTAACCTTAAAGCCCTTACAATGGCCTACAGTGCCCTGTTCCCATTTCCTCATTATCTCTTTGACTTCATCTTTTATTTCTCTCTCCATCCTTCTTCCAAGCTTAGGCATACTCCCGCTGTAGGCCCATGGCAGTATCTATGTGACCAACTCCTTCAAAGCTTTACACAAATGTCCCCTTATCAATGAAGAGTTTTAAACCACCATATCTTAAATTTCAATCTGCACCTCTCCTCCCCATCTGCATATGCCTAATCCTCCTTTCTTTGCTCACTTTATAGCATTTATTCCCTCCTATCAAACTATATGATTTATTAATACTTACGATTGTCATTTATCACCTGTCTCTTCTTATGAGAATGTAAGTTCCACAGGGGCAGATATTTTTATCTTTTTTGTTCACTTGAATTTTCCAGCTGCCTACAATAGTAACTGGAACTTGATAGGTGCTCAGTAAATGTGTCTGAAAGAATGAGCTCTGATCATTCCCATGCTATAGTATGCTACAATTTTCCTCCTTGTCCACCTGCCCACCACCAAACTGTGACCTTTTTGAAAGCAGAGACTTTTGCTATTGTGTCTATTTACAATATCTTAGCATATTTCCTCAAAATAGTGGGCTCATAATAAACGTTAAGTGCATGTGTTCATCTCTGACCTCACCACCCATAGCTTTGCAAGATTTGTGATCATACTATGACAAATCGGAATACAAATGCAAGAATGTTGTCTTCTTAATGAAGAAGCTTCATTATAACCTATCACAGTATATGAGATCTCCAAGATGAAGAGACCAACAAGGACCAATATAGTGAATAGTTCTCCAGCAGAGTTTCTTCAAAGGTTAAGAATTCACCACTGTCCCCTTGGCCTTTATTCCCCATGTGTACCTACACTTGGGACATTAGTTAAAAAATGAAATGGAAGCCTGAGAACTGTAAAGCTTGAAAAATAATGCCTTGCCTTCTGTGACTTCTCTTTTTCTTTCCTTTCTCAGAGCTCTTCCTGCCATGATGCAGTGGGTCCGCACGCAGAAGCCAGGAGAAAGTGGCATCAATATTGTCACTGCCGATTTTGTAGAACTTGGTGATTTTATCAGCACTGTGATAAAGCTCAACTATGTCTTTGATGAAGGAGAAGCCAACACTTGATAGCACTGTTTGGAGTGTCCCTGAATAAGACAGAGAAGACTCATCGTATTAGGCATATTATTTGTAAACACTCTGATCTTCCTATTCCACTGAGTCTTGGAAGGGATTAGGGCTGATAGTGGGTGGGAAAAGGGGGAAACCATTTCTTTAGTGATTATAATCATAGTCTATATTACTATAAATATTTCATTTCCCATTTGATGAGCAAAATCTACTTCTAGTGTTAGGGATAAAAAAGATAAGTGAATTTTGTTTTTCAAAATTAGTCTTTGTAACGTATGAGTGTTTACTTGATTGCGTTCTCTAATTTCAACCTAGGCTCCTACGCTGTCTGTATCCTCTAACCTTTCCACTCCTTCTTTCGCTCGCTCTTTTTGCTCTTTTTAATCAGATGCTGTATGGGACTCAAAACAATTGAATGCCTGACATTATGTGTATTAAATTGTTGGACTGAAATTTATTTGTTTTGTGGGACTTGGTATAATATTCTGTAGTCATCTGCAACTGGGTGATCATAGCTTAACTTTTGTTCATAGAAAATCTGCATCAA